TGCTCCAGTTGTCTCAGGCTCTGACATTCTGCAGCTTGGCTTTGGAAAAAAGTTGAAGTAACTGAAAACAACTAGCTGTGAGAATATTACAGGAGACTTGTTGCAGGTTAGGGCCATCCCTTACTAATGATAAGGGAGATGCTGCCTGAGTTAGGGCAAAGAGGTTGTTCATTTAGATGTTTATAAAAGGGTCTGAGATTCTTTGCAGAAGCATTAACATTTAAGTGTACATTTCTGGGCTATCTTTCCCTTGCTGAGTCTTGAGAGCTTTACACATATTGAACCAAGAGCTGGTATTCCTTCTCAACATGCACCAAGATTATGTTTAATCCCAGGACATATCACACAGTTGACGATTCAGAAAGTGTCAGTTGGCCAGACACAGATTCCATTAACATAACCTAATTCTTAATATCTGCTTACGGGAGTCCAGCTCTTTTACTGATTTGGAATCCTGATACTGCATACTTTCTGAAGCTCTGCTCATGATTCTCAGTTCACCAGGCCTGCTACTGTTAAAGTACCAGCTATGACCTGTAACACTCCTGAGCCCCAGCTTTCCAAATAAGCCTTCAGAAAATATTGCTGAGAGAAAAGGTAAAGGCAATGATAAAATTGCTTGCAAAACCTACATTCCATCCATAATACTGGATTTATATGGATACTTTTATAGCAAAATAAAACCATGCCATATTTTATCAGGAAACTGTGCCATATTTTAATTCTAAGTGTGTAGATTTATCTTGTATGAAGCAATCCCCATATATTAAAATCTGGCAATATTAAGTTGGTAAATTCTAGAGTAGTTACTTAAAAATATTTTTAAATCACCAATAAAGTTTTTATAAAGCAACTAATTAATGGTTATTAATTTTTCCATGAACAGAAGATTGAAATTAATATATACCTCTGCCTGCACTTGAGAGCCCCCAAAACAGATCTTAGCAATTTATAGAAGTATCTTATAAAGTATTATAGCTAATGTGATCCAAACACTATTTTAACTTGTACCAATATTAATTCCTTTAATCCTCAGAACAATCCTACGAGGTAGATTGGTTAGCATCTCTCTGAGACACTGACAGATCACGTGGCTTGCCAGAATCATCCTCTAGTTAAGTAAAAGGACCCAGATTTGCACTAAGGCACCTTGGCGCCATGTTGCATGCTCCTACCTTCTTGGCTAAGCTTACATTTTAAAATGATAAATTTGCTTAGCACATTTACAGATGATACGATTTTTTAGCTTTTTAAAAAAAATACTAGTTTTAAAACCAAAGAACTTTAACTTACCCCAGACTCACAGCCAGAACCATGAGCAGTGCTTCCTATGAGTTTTGAGTTAGAGGCATACATTTGTCATGAGTCTATCAGCTGCAATGACAGAAACTCAAGTCACATTGAAACAAAACACAGACTTATTGGAGATATAAAACTGAGATATTGGGGTGGAGTTGGCCTCAAGGACTACAAAGAACTCAAAAAATATCAAAACTCAGTCTTACTCTTCGTTGTTCTCAGATCTGACGGCCTGTGTCTATTGGCCATATTCTCTTCTATTGTTTTACTGAAGATGGGAAGTGAGATGAGAGGCTTGCATGAGGGAGAAAAAAAGAGCTCTTGCCTAGGTCCCCCAGGACTCATGAGCAGAATGATCAGCAGTCCTGTCTACTGCAAACTTCTGCTACAGAGAAATGAATTCCTATCTAGTTTAAGCTGCTGATATTTGGGGCCTCTATTATCCACAGCCAAACCAAATCTTAACTAAGTTTAGAAATGAGGTAATATTTAAGCATGCCAGCAGATAAGGGATTGCTAAGTGAGGGGCTGGGGATGCTCACTTGGTGAGAGAATGGAGAGTGAGAACTTGTTGTTGTGCTTTCACGGACCACCCCAGGGCCAGGCACCATGCTGGGCATCAGGCCACACTAACGTGTTTCATCCCCCAGCATCTATGAATTCAGACTCTCTGAATTCTCCACATCTATGCTCATTTCACAACTAAAAGAATAGTTAGGTGACATAAGTCTTTTTTCTAAGGTCACACAGCTAGGAGAGGAGACAGGTAGGATTTGAGCCCACGTGGAACTCTCTCTCACTATGGAGCCTGCCTCCTCGGCCTCCTGATCCAGGGGCTTTACTATGCGTGAAAACATAATACAAAAGGTAGTCATTTCATCCACAGATTAAACACAGAAGACGCCTCAATACCAAGCTTGCCAATTCATTGAAAACCCCATTCAACGTTTCAAGCTCCTTTACATCCAGCTTTGGGAACACAGGCATAGCATCTCTCAAGCTTCTCCTCCCCTGTGGGCTGCCGCACTGCAAGACAGTTCCCATTCCTTTGGGTTAGGGGAGAAGGCAGTTTCACTTTCACTATTTAGGATAGAAATATCCTAACTGATAAATTAAATTGAGAGATGAAACCTTTCTTCCCTGATTGCAGAGCACACTACCAACAGAGTCAGGCCCATATCTTGTCGCCCCAGTTTGCTTCTTTGTAAGACTTGCCTCCACTGCAAAAATTTTGTAAGAGTTCAACGCCAGAGCTTATGGAGCTGACAGATTCTTGGCTCTTCCAAGTATTTTTTTCTTTCTTTTTTTTTTTTTCCCCAAATGAATAAGTAGATCTAATTAAGTTTATTACAGAAACAAAAGTTCTTCTGGAAAGTTAATTCTTTAAAATGGTTGAAATAAAAAATAATACCTCTTCCCCACCCTTCAGAGTCCTCTCTGATTTAAGCAGATGAAAACACTAGCATTTCTAAACCCAAGGCTCTATTTGGGATGTGGAATATAAAGTGCCTTTTCTGGCTATTATGACAGGAAAGGAATGTACAGGTTTCTCAAAAAAAGATTGTAGGACTCATGCTGATCTAATTTATGTATCTTCCTGCCAGGAAAAAAAGGAAAAAAAATCTTCATGGATGTGGCACTGATTCAATGATTATTTGATATTTTATATATTCAGTGCATATTTGGAAATATTTTTAAATTGAGTTTTAAAACTATCTATAAAGAGAAAATATACTCTTTTCCACTCTTAACTTCTGGACAGCCACATTGAAAAGTACTCCTCTCATGCAGAAAGAGATTAATAATTGTAAGGCAACACAAGGAAAGGTGACAATTATTAAGCCCATGGACAGATTATAATGTTAGTCAAGAATGACTCATGGGACTGTATCTGGCTTTGACTTTGGATGTTAGCAATAATCATATGGAATAGTTCCTTTAGCAAACCAGTCACCTCATTTTGCTCTTTCTTTACCTCAGAGGAGAGGAACGACGAAAGAGGAGCCTTGACTAGAGTACGTGAGCCCACTCAAGCCAATGTGTGCTCAGTGGAGGAGAGGTGGGGTGGATGGCCGCAACTGAGGCTCTGGACAAAGAAAGAACATCCTTCATGTCAGAAATCTGCTTTGTGGGAGTTGGGTGGTTGTTAAAGGGCTTTATGCAGAGTTTCTCAAATGTGAATCCACTTAGGAGACATATCACTTTTAAAAACTTCTGTAAGAAAATTAGATCTCTATTAATAAGCAAGCATATTAGTGTTTCATCAGTTCTAAAGATGGGTTCTATTTATCTCAATATTCCACTGCTGCATTCACTTCCTAGGGCAGTAATTACCACCAGTGTGGTAGCTTAGAACCATAGAAATGTATGCCCTTACAGTTACAGAGGCCAGAAGTCTGCAGGGAAAGCATCTGCAGGGTTGCTTTTTTCCTGGAAGCTTGAGGGAGGACCTGCTCCCCACCTCTCCCACACTGCGGGTGGCTGCCCACAGTTCTCGGCACTTCTTAGCTTGTAAGTGCATCACTCCAAACTCTGCTTTCTTCCTCTCATGGCCTTCCCCGCTATGTCTCTGTGTGTCTCTTTCTTTTCTTTTAGGAGGACACCCATCATTGAATTTAGGTCCCTTCCTGAGCCAGGATGATTTGATCTCTAGATCCTTGCCTTCATCACAATGGCAAAAACTCTTACTCCAAATAAGGTCACCTTCACAATTCTGGTTTCACATTCTTTTTTCAGGGTTCTGGGGGAAATATTTAACCCACTATAGAAGCAATGGCATCAGTCCCTGGAAACTCCTGAGGTTCATAGTCTTGGCTTCATGTCTCAGCTTTCTCCTTTTCTCTTTTCTTTGTTCATTTTCTACTTCGCTTGTCCTCTAACACACACAAAACAGAGTCTGTAACATGATTACTCCTGCTCCATTGCAGTGCTTGACAAACTAAAGCAAAATATAGACACCAATAAAAATAAACACTTTCACAGACTCTGGTTGAATTTAACTATCTTAATTTCATTTCAACATGCACAACAAAGAACTAGGTTTAAAGTTCTTAAGCATAAAGTTCTCACACAATCATAAAACAAAAACAAATCCAAGAACTAAACACAATGAAAGCATAAAACCAATAAAATTTAAATGTATTCATTCCAAAAGGTTTTTACTGAGTATCTATTATGTACTAGATACTGTTGAAAGTACTGGAGATACAGTGATAAAACAGACAAAAGTAGCTGGCCTCATGGATTAAACTTACACATTTCAGTATATTGGTAACTCTGAAAGAATTATATATTATTAACACGCCCAAATCAAACACAATTCACAATAGACTCTATGAAACTTACTGCTACTAGGCAATGACACTTGAGTTCAGCATATCTATGCCACTGTTTACCACACGATAACCCAATTTTACAACCTTTTCTCTGTATTCCAGTAACTGCAAACATTTCCTCCGTATGATGAACTATACGATTATGTAGTACAATCCCATCATTTATATATTAAACCCACCCTTTTCTTTTCTCATTAGGCTTCAACAATTTAACAATAGATTGCTCTGACACACCATTCCATTTTCTTGCAAACCAAATCAGCAAGTCCATATGTCAAACAATCAAGGAACCAAAATCTTGTTCTATGAAAGTTTCTTCTGAGAGCAAATTTCACTGCAAAGGAGAAATTGTGTCTTTGAAACTGATTTTTAAAATTTGACATGCACACTTTTGTCCTTTTTTTTTTTTTTTTTTTTGCTGTTGCACTGTTTATCGCTCTATCAAGATTCCCTATATTTCAAGAGCCTTAATTCCAAAAGCATACAAGGATGGAAGACACTGCTCCATGCCCCAATATTTCATATACTCATCACCTTATTTTTTCTTTTCAGTATTCAGATGAAACAATGGGATACGCAAAATATATTTGCCAAATTTCAACTTAACGTTTTAGCACTTTTGCTTAGCTGTTACCTGCCAAAATAATAAATGTCCCAGAAACACCACAACTCAATCTTATAAGAAAAAGACAGAAAGACAGAGACAAGGGGTTGCAGGGGAACTGCTATCATTCTGTAGTGACCATTTATGGTCATTCACACCTTCTTGATGCCCCATGCTGCCTGGACCCCTGAATTCCCAGGCATCCATGAGAGCAAACGCACCAGGGCTCATCATTGTTACATAAAGAGAATAAATATGTGTACATTTTAAAGTCATTTAAAACAATTTTGTTCTTGAGCATTGCTAGTGTTTAGACACCAGGATAAACAGTCTTCCACTGAACAGCGGCCGCCAACAAATGGTTACTGTGATGTCGACTTTAGGAGCAACCAACCCAACAGCAACCAGGAGTGCCTAACAGCATATTAAAAGTGAAATGCTGTCATTTTGGCAATTACGTGGTGCCAATCCTCAACTACAAATACAAAGAAAATACAGCATCTAAATCATACAGCAGGAATAGTTACCATATGGTTATTCAGATGATCAAAAAGGCAGCCTTTTCAAAATCTTAGGGAGCACTTCCTGGGCCTTGAGAACACGTCGATAGACCCTGATGAAGAAACACAGATCCACACATGTCTTAGACTTCCTTTGTCATTCCTGGTGTCCTGGCCATGCCCTCTCTAGACCTCTTATCCCCGGCTCATGGTCACATTTCTCTTCGACTTTGTCCCCCTCTACTCCAACCCATCTCCTACACGGTAGCCTGAATGGTTGCCCTCAGTTCAACCTACAATTTTTGAGATCTACCATATGCCAGATGCTATGCAAAGTTCTAGGGATACCAAAGTGACAGATACATGATTTCTGCATAGAGCTGACCCTTCCACAACACAAGTTTTAATTGCACAGGTCCACTTACACATGAATATTTTTCAATAAAAGTTTATCGAGTGTGTCTGCCTCTCTTGTCTCCCCTCCCACCTCCTGCATCTCCCTACCTCTGCCTCCCCTAAGACATACAGAGTGCAAAATAAAAATGAAAAGTTCTCCTGCTCCTCCGTCTACTCAACATAAATGACGAGCATAAAGAAATTTATAAGGATTCTCTCTCCCTTAGTGAATAGTAAATATATGTTCCCTTCTTATGATTTTCATAACATTTTCCTTTCTTCAGCTTACTTTATTGTAAGGATACAATACATAATACATATAACATACTAAATATGTGTTAATTCACTGTTTATGTTATTAGTAAGGCTTCTGGTCAACAGTAAACTATTAGCAGTTCAGTTCTGAGGGAGTCAAAAGTTATACAAGAATTTTTTACTGTGTGTGGGGGTCAGTACCCCTAACACTGGTGGTGTTCAAGGTTCAACTGTGTGAGGAATTCACAAACATGTATTCCTAACGGGGTCTTCTTTCTCAACAAGTCATGATCTCTTTCCCTCCTCAAAACATTCTTCAAAACGTTTACTTTACTCAGAGTCTTCCCAGACTCCTCTCTTCAGAGTCTCCCCACAAAAACACCTTCAGAACTCACCTAGCCATGAGGTAGACGTCATTCTCTCAACGTTAACATGTAAGTTCATATTTTCATGCACACATTTTTCTCAGTTTGTGCTCTGCTTTCTTTAGACTGTGAACTCCTCCAAAATCAAAACCTTTACTCATAGCTTCACTCTTTAAAAGAATATACCCTAGTACCAATCACCATGCCCCAGGAAACAAACATCTCTGTTCTTTGTCAACAAGAGCAAGCCCTTTGTTACCCAATTCAATCTGAAAAGTAACCTCAGACAATTTCAAAGCGTGAAGTTCTTTGCTCCTTGAGCCTACAGCATTTGAGACAGCCCAGGTAGAACGCAAACCAGAGTCTGGAATTTCAGAAGCCAGTCAATCTAGAGAGCTAGGCTGGGCTTTCTGTGTACCCTAAACACCAAGCTTCTTGACTGAAGTCAGCCCTACAGAGCCGCCTGCTCTCCCAGAGTCTCAATTGAGGATTCAATGCACAGAAGTGTGTTTGCATCCTTTTACAATTTGTTCAACCTTCCCTTGGAGCCCCAACCTAGATCACATCCTTCGTTAGTTCTGCTTGGCTCCTACTCTTCACATTTTATCATCTAGTAGGAAAAACAGGCCAAGGTTTATATCATGACTGCCCAGGGTTATTTAAAAGATTTGTAACACTCATCATGTCCAGAAGACAAAGAAGTCAAGACCGCCTGAGTTGCCTAACAAAGTAACGCATAAAATAACCCGTGAGCCTTCTATCAGCAGAATTTGCAGTAGTAGAGAAGGAGAGCAAACAAGATGTGGAAACATTCGCTTTCGTTCACTACATTCTAGAAGTCATTCTCCAAGATTCTGGCGATGGAACAGAAGCATTGCATACATTCGCTTGCATGCGCATATGCACACACAATGATAGCAGCAAACGCTCTTCTAAGAACTCTTCCAAATAATAGCTCATTTACTCCTCGTCACAACCCCATGAGGTAGGTATTATCATTACTTACTTTTTTGATAGACATGGAGATTTGTCACCAAGATCCCACTCCAAAAAAGGACTCACTTCTCAGCTGCTGGGAAGAGTGGTCAGCAGGTAGCCTCCAGCTCCTTCAGGGTCTGTCTCAACTACAGAGCTGTCTTGTCCAGAGTCGCGTTCTTCACACAGGAACCCTATGTCAGCAGAATAAATTCGGGGAAGAAAGGATGACCTGGGGTAACACTGATGGACAATACTCACTCCAGGGCTCCCCACTGGGTTAGCCCCTATACTGTCAGGCCTGAATCACTGTTTGAATTCTCCCTCTGCCCAATTCCCTTCCTTCCTTTATCTTTTACAGGTCCTGATGTCTCATCAGTGCCCTGCACACCAAAGTCCATCTTGTCATCGGCTTCCATAGAGCCCAGCCTGGTACATGCATTTTACGCATGAAAGCATTGAAGAACAGGGTTACATAACCAGTAGTATCAGGAGCCAGATTCTAACCAGGTAGTCTGGTTCCAAATTCCATACATTTTTGACATTTGGCTAGTCTACCTTGCAATATGTGAGGGACTTTGGGTTTTTCCCCTTCAAAACTTCAATTAGTTTTAAGCTCCCTCAGCTTCAGGGCTGTGAACAAGGACTGAGGACACCTCCACTGGTTCTTCCACTGTCTGTATTAAATTTATTCCACTTGGATTGACTGCCAGATAGCCCTGTGGGTTTTCTTTTAAGAGCCATCTCAGTGGCTCCACTCACTCATAGAAGATATGCCACCACAGTTCTGAAAGCAACTACATATCGAATTAGAAAACCAAGGATCAATCAAGAACTAGTCTTTCAACGATCACTCAGTGAGCATCAATAAGGAACATACAAAAACATGTGGTGGCTCTCACCTGCAACCCCAGCTACTCAAGATGCTTGAGGCCAAGAGTTTGAAACCAGTCTAAGCAATATAGTGAGACTCCATCTCAAAAAAAAAAAAAATTATAATAGAAATTTAAGAAATACAAAAAATCCAGAGAAAATAGTCATATCACTCAGAATTAACAACTATTTCCATTTCAAGTTATTGCTTCTAGACTCTCACCACCACCCTTCCCATCCCCTTCTCATGGACCAGAAAGTCTTACTCTCATGAAATTGATATGGCTTTTACAAACACACATATGGGATATTAACATTATATGTTTTTTTAAGTATGGAATTTAAATTTCACATGGGGGCATCATATTCTACTATTATTCTCAATCTTGTTTTTTCTACTCTGCAAAATTATGGCTTTTTTCACTACTAATTAATTGCATTCTTAGGACTCATACTGGACACCGAAAAAAGGATTTTGATGATGATTACAATGGGGAAAGACACCACAAGGAGTGTAATTAGAAATTCATTCATAATGCTTTTACGACCTTAAGAGCTTGTAGCTAAATATATATTTTTTCATTCCAGGTTCTCAACTTCCTAGCTCTATGATCTAAAGCAAGTCACCTAACTGGTCTGTGTCTCAGTTTTCTCAGCTATAAAATGAAGGATAATGCCAGTAGCTAATTTACATAGTGAGAAGTAAATTAATTAATGCATTTCAAGTTCTTAGAATAGTGCCTGACACATAGTAAGCACTCAAATCATTATTATATTTAATAGTAAGTATAATTAATATCATTATTATGACACTAACAATGTTAGTGGGAGAAAATTTGAGTGAAATTAATTTTGAACCTTAGGAAAGTAGATAAGAGAAAGGGTTCATTGGGAGATACATTACTTTATCAGTAGCCATTAATTTTATCTTTAATATTTTCCCAGAAAGCCTGACTCTGAGAACCAAGGCATTTTGCTTTTTTATCCAGTTAGCTTTAGGCCTGTGGCCAATAAATTGTCAATCATTTTAACCTCTAAACCTAACTTCACAGAACAGAATATTCTCAGAGAAATCTGAAAAGTGAATTTGTTGGCTGCAATTATACTGCAGTTTCTCAGCCTGCACTTTACAGAATTCTTAGCTGGTAGGGAGAAATCCCCTCTAAAACCACTGTGACAAAGTTATGTTAGAGCTTCAGTAGTTTTTCTTTCTTTAAGCCAGGTTGTTTTTTTTTTAATGTTACTTTTACACTCTCTCGATTTATTTATTTTGGCCTCGGTGGACTAGACCACAGCTAAAACTTTATGGACCTAATAAAATTCCCAACATTCTCAGACACGGGTCGTGATGTTTGTGCACTGGGCAGAAAACAAAAGTGCTTTATGAAGAGAATGGGCATGCTCAGAGATCAACGAACTGAGGTCAGCCGCGCAGGGCTGGGCTGCAGCTGAACTGCGACACAGGCAGTGTAGACCCTGGGTGTGTCCCTCACTCTCATACTTCCTCTTCTCTGTCTTCTTTTCCAGACAAATGACACAGAGCTTTCATGCTGTCCCTAGATTACCAGAGCCTCCTACCAGGATACTGCTGAGGGCTTGTCCTGCCTAGAATAAACTTTCCAACTTCACCTGCATGCACAGAATTCCCATCTTAACCTCACACGCATGCCTTCAAAAATTATCTGTCCTGCGCTTCCCTCCCTCATAGGCTTTCTTTAGCTGAGAGCTGCTTGGTCTGATAAAGCCAGTTCATTTGTTTTTTCTACCTTGTAGGACAGTCCCTTCAACAGAGGCTTTCTGGAGCCAACACCTCAGTGCAAAGCAATGGGATTGTAATGGGTAGAGCTTACGGAAATCTTGAAATTATACCACATCAGAGGCTGTCTCATTGATCCACCTACAGGACCAGTCTCCATAGCTTGCAGGTTTACAACACTGCATTGTGCTGCAGTTGTGTGCAAGTCATCAGACAGCATAATTTCATCTTGCATTTTATTATGTTCTTTACAATTTTTCAATATACTTTTTTCTCACTTGAGCCTCATGACAGCTCTTCCTTGTTAGGTAAAACAAATCTGTCTTCCAATTAGTTTTATATTTCCTGTCCCAAACAGAAGATCTCTTACCAAAAGGACTGGATGATACCATTCACTTAAGGGACTACATTATACCAGCTGATAAACACAAATCTCCTTTGGATGAGTAAAATGGGAAAGAAGTAAGCAGTGGTTCTTAATCACTTATAAGGGATTAATCAATTTAGTAATTCAAGTAAGAATGACGCTTCCTGAAAGAAAATTTGAATCCTCCAATAGTCAGTGAATATGGCCTTTCCATCTATTAAGATCTGAAAACCCGGTGGGAATATATTAAAGATTAATTATGCCTAAAGCAAATAAACATTGCTGTCAACCTTCAGATAAGATTCAGAATGGGTTTTTTTTACTCCAAAAATATTTCATCTATGCACTTGCTATCATGCATGATGTTTTTAAAAATTATTTTAAACATTAACATCTTGCCATACTTCCTGCACCTATCTTTTGTCCCTTGGTCTTTATATCTACGCACGTTTTAATTTAGAGTCTATTTCCAGCAGATGTTATATCTTTTAGTGTTTGCTTTCTTTTTCATTAAAAAGGACATATAATGCATTTTATTGATTTGACAGAAAATTGCCTAAATAAAGATGTTCAGAAATCCTGAATTATTATTCCTTTTTAATGGGGTGTGTGTTTGTGTGCCTGTGCACGCATGCATGCATGCAGATGCACAGTTTCTAGGAATAGGAGAACTATAGAAAAGAAAATTTGTGTTTCACAAATACCAGAAGACAGCAAGACTATCATCCACTAATTCCTAAAAAGGTAATAGAGACGAGCATTTCAAATCACAATCAAAACTTCTATTGTAGAGCATTTTTAATATTCAAAACCATTCCCTTAATGCTCAGTATAAATATTAGCTCACAATTCTAATGAGCAACTCTTTGGGTATTTTAAGTATGTAAAGATGTGCATTTAACTGTATTAACACAAGTTTAACTATAGTTCTGTTTAACAGGCTACTAGATCTTGAATAAAACTGACTTCATCCAAATTTTTCACTTTCCCTTCTGAGTAGAAACCCGTCATCCAAATTATCAGTGCCCTCCAGTCCTTTCTCTTCCCTCTCTTTTCCAAAAAGGGAAAGATTTCAGTTAACACCCCTTTTAGCTTTAAGTCTATTTAAACATCCCTAAAATATGCAATGACCTCAGTTTCTATTTGAGAAATCCATGAGCTAGTGGGGAGTCTGGGGAAAAAGGAAAGGACTCTTCAGCTCACCTGGTCGCTTGTTCATTTCCCAGCAAGGGTGATCTTGTTAACTGTAACACAAATAGCAAAAAGCATAAATGACAACAGAATCTCCATGGCACTTTAAGGCTATAAAATTCTCAGAGTCTGGGAAATTGGCACACAGAGTTATTCTTGGCTTCTCACCTCTCTTGAGCAGAGAAGCTGTTTTTTCATGCAACATAAGATATTTTATTCTGATTTTCTTGTTTTTCACCAGATGATCTCTAAGGTTTCCAACGATTATGGAATTTTGAGGTTTTACTCATCTTGGTACCCTGAGGGTTTAGCACAGCAACAAGAACTGACACCCAATAAATATTAAATGCTTGACTGACTGAGTGAATGAATACATAAATGAATGTCCAAATTTGGAATTAAGCTAGGATCGCAGCTCCAGGAGACAAGAGGAGCAGAGTTAGTGGACTAGTGCAAATACCTGAAGGAACATTTTCAAGACTGATTTCACTGGACAGCCCACTGATGATATTAGAACTCTGGGATGGTGAGTCAGCCTCAATTAATAAATATGTCTTGAAAATTACACTAAGAGATTGAATTTTCTTAGCAAAGTATCGGTACAGCATCTGAGCAAGGAGTGTATAGTCTATGAGACAAACAAGACACAGAAACTGGTCATCAGGAAATGCTGTGTTGAGATTTTCTGTTTTGCAACAGGAAAGTCCCAATTAACTGCCAACTCAACTCATCTAACACCTGCACCAGAATCCCCTGAGCACCTAAAGATCACATTCTAGAGATTCACAACTCATACACAAACTTTTGAGATTACATCCTCACTCTAAAGTCAACTTTATCCTAAATAGATTAGATGAGCCAATTCCTCTCCCAAATACCTTCTACTTATTTGGTTAGTAGCAAGTAAAGGCTTTCCCACAGTAAGATTTAAGTCTTAAAATAAAAGAACTACCCACCCACCTCAACCCCAAAAAAGACAAATGGTTGATATTAGATTCTTCCCTGAG